ATTCTCTTCCCCATCCCACCAGGGGGTGAGGGTGAGCAAGCAGCTGTGTGGTGCTTGGTTGCCAACTAGGGCTAAACCACAACAGTCCTTTTTAGCACCCAACTTAGGGCTCAAATGCTTTGAGACAATAACAGATTAACCAGAGCTTATTGAGGAATTCATACCTGTTAATAGTTGCGAGTCACGATATTGATCCATCTGTTCTTGATCTTGGTTTATCTAATCTGCACCATGCTCCTTTTTTTGCTGTACATGTTAAAGACCTGTGTTGGTTTTTGCAGTTTGCTGTGCTCTGCAGTGATTAGTGATGCTTTGCCTGGGAGATTTGTTATTAAAACACTGACCTTGAGCTTTATGTGATATTTAAGCTTTGTACTGAAGCCATTAACGTACTTCGGGTACCACCTCATGGAGACAATTAGCAATTATACTTCTTCTTCTGAGAAGTTTTCTATGGAGGAAATACAGAATGGCACCTTCGCTACCTTCTTCTACAATGTTTTCTCCTTCATTACAACAGCTTTTCAGTATTTTGAACTTCCTTGGACAGTTTAGATACTTCTATTGGTATTTCTTGGGGATATTGTTTCAGGTTTGACAAAGGTTAATAGGCAATTTAAGAATATCATCCACGGATCTGCCTCAAGGCTGGCTAGTTATGAGTGGCAGGGTGTGTGGAGTAGCATGGGCAAATGCCTAGGACAGTGGGCACCTCCAGTGTTTTCGAACTTCATCCCTGAACAAGTGCAGAATCCTGAAACATCTGCAGAATACTTGGAAAAAGTATGTTGTCACCCTGGCAACTACAGAGACACACAAATCGCTGCAAGGTACTGAGGCCTGGCCCATGCCTACCAAGCCCTGTTCAACATTATTCAGAACCCTCAAGGGGAAAAGAAGGTCACTGGATCTGATGACAAAACAACAGGCACTGCGGCTACTCCAGAGAACCAACCCATGCTAGTATCAGTCACCCCTATACACAAGAAGAAATCGTGGAAGCGAAAGTCAACTCGTTTAGAAAGGGATGATGAAAAAGCAGGGCCATCAAAACGTTGTTCCTGAAATCAGCCAGTGTTCCCTTTTTACTGGGTGTTCTTCCAAAGAAGAGGATTCGTTCAAGGCTCAATAAGATCTCCACTCTGAATTGCCTGCTACCCTTCCCCACTGCTTTCTAAGATGAAGTCTACACTGCCTTTCTGAGCAATACTGAAATTCAGTGCTAAGCACGTAAAGGCAAACAAATCCACACTGTAGAAGTTTTTGAGTATGAAGCAGTGATCCTTCCTTCTTCTCCTTCTGTATCTGATCTTCTCAGGCCACAGTGAGAAGCTGGGCAGGTTACCCGGAGACATTTCAAAAAGAACTAGACATCTGTATGTATGCAACCAAATCAGGCATTTAATGCTGCTAAATGCCCTAAATGGGGTGCCTAAAAGATGTGCAAGTTTCAAGTTAGTCACAGAAGGTTTTTCTAATCAGTTGATGGCAATAAGAATTGGCAGGGGTAGTTCATCTTAAAACAGGTAATGAAGGTACGTCTGAAAAGCACTTTGTGGACCTCTCTTGCTCTCTGCACTGACAGTACACGGAGCTTAAAGTAACTTCCTCAGACTTAGATGTCTAACTTGTAGAGATGAACACTCCTTGGACTCTTGTGCAATGTTTTTAATGAAAATACTCTGACTCATTATGATTACCATGAAAGAAGTATGAATTACTAGTAGAAGTTAACAAGAGTCCTGACATGAATCTATCACCAAATCTTGAGTTATAGCAGACATCGTAATAATGTAGAATATTTAAATTGATAAAGTGACTATTTCTAACAATTTAATTGGACAGCACATTTAGAGAATTTTGCAAGGGCTTGAAAACCTCTTCTTTTGGGGAGAAGACAATATATTTTGTCTTAATAGACACATTTTCATTCCCTTCAGGAAGTCAGGGAGTTGGATCACATGCCATGCTTCAGATCATCTTTGTTACGGTACTGTTCTGAAAGAAGAGAGAAGCACTCACCATGCGGATTGAGAAACTCAAATATTCCTGGGAGAAAGACTTTTTCTTTTACAAACCCTTAGAAACATCTGTCAGATCATATCAGGTTGTTATTGTTCTGTCAACTAACCCCTAGAAATTGCCTTTTAGCCAAAGAACACTCCTCCTTTTGAGATGTCTTCTCTTTTGAGGAGGTTTTCTTATGCACAGGTGTCATTAGTTGACCTTGGCTGGCCACCAGGTGCCCACCAAGCTGCTCTATCACTCCTCTCCTCAGTAGGACAGCAAGGCAGAAAATAAGATCAGAAAAAAGAACTCGTGGGTTGAGACAAAGGCAGGTTAATAAAGAAAAGGCAAAGGCCACACACAGAAGCAAAGGGAAACAAAAAAAGATTTCTTCTCAACTTCCTGTCTGCAGGTGATGTCCAGCCACTTCCTGGGAAGCAGGACCTCAGTACACGCAGTGGTTGCTTCAGAAAGCAAACACCTTAGTAGTGAATGCCCCTGCTCTCCTACTCCTTTCTCTTAGCTTTTATTGCTGAGCATGACGTGATATGATATGGAATATCTCTTTGGTCAGATTGGGTCAGCTGTTCTGGCTATGTCCCTCCCAATCTCTTGCCCACCCCAAGCCTACCGGCCTTTGGAGTGGGGGGGATTGGAGAGATAGCCTTGATGCTGTGTGAGCACAAAACACTGGTATGTTATCAGTGCCTTTCTAGCTATGAATACAAAGCACAGCACTATGAGGGCTGCTATGGGGAAAGTTAACGCCATCCCAGCCAAAGCCAATACAACGAGTCACAGTGACCAGTCTCAGAAGTGACAAAATCACATCTTATTTTCTAACATTTCAAGTATATAGCTTTTTCTTAAACTGACCGGTATCCAGCAAAAAGATCTTTTGCATGTATGCTGGTTATATGCATGTATATAACCTGCCTTTCCAAGTACAGTATATATTACTAAAAGGTTCAACACTAACTGCCTAGAAGGAGAAAAAGAAAATGCTTAATTTTAGTGCCATTAACATTGCTTCTATTTTGCAATTACTTTAAGAGATACTGGCCTAGCTTTTTCTCAGAGCTTTTCCTGTGTGAGTCATTACACCAGTGCTATTTAATTTGGTTTATTCTAGTTTTCTCCCTTTCCAAGATGATATGTGATGATCTGCCTAGGAAGATCCTTTGTGGTCTTCTGGGAGTGTAATTGTTTGCCGCAGAAATGCCTTCTTTCTTGGCTTATTCAATTGACTGGGCTTATGGTTCATTCCAAGAGGTAAAAAGTTTGGACAGCAGTGGATACAATTCATTTTACATATCTTTAACATCAACACTGTGGAGCTTTGATTCAGTTCCTTACACATAGCTATCTAATGGCAATTTATATCTTAGGGTATCCAGGTTGCTTCTGTGGTTTCAGAAGGGTTCAAAAATCTCAGCCAAAGTCCTAAGGTATCTTCCATGTTACCTACCTACGTTGTCAAGTCCAGCAGTTGCATGAGCTGCAAAGGACAGGATTGAGGACAGGATTCATCTTAGTTGACAGACAAAATCCAAGACAGTGGTTCAGGGACTGTCTTCAGTTAAGAGAGGAATATCGATCCCTCCAAAGGGTGATTTATACAATAATTTTAGCCATCCATCTTAAGAAAAATAAATCACATTCCATAGATCCTTTTTGGCCATACACAGAGCAAACAACTGTAACTTAGAAGTAAAAGCCAGTGGGCACAAAAACTTAGGAAGATTTATGCCACTCTTGGAGTAGCATTTCTTGGCTCCATCTTAGAGTACCTTCTTTTTTGGAAATGATGCTGGCTTGTAATGATCAGCCAACGAGGGTGAA